CACTCCGACACCGCACGGACAACCGCACGCATCCAAGAGCAGCCCCGCCAGCAGACACCACACCGGAAGGGGAAACGACAGTACACGTCACTTGTCAAGGTACCGTACGTAAATGACCAGCTTGCAAGGAGGGTTCGTCAAGTGGTCAGGTCGTTTGATAGAGATGTGCGTGTGGTCTTTACGTCCGGTCGCTCACTAATTGACTAAAGGATATGTTGGTCTCGTCGTCATTCAGCAAGCCACAATGCCCCAGGACGGTACAGCAGCAGAGGGAGAAGAGGCGGCGGGGTCGGTCGGCTGAATGTCGTGCATGCGATGGTGGTCTGAAGCGTGATGCTTGTATGTCCCAAGATGTGGTGTACTCTATGACATGTACCATCTGTCAAGAAGACTACGTCGGGGAAACAGAAAGGACAACACGCAAGAGGACCGAGGATCCTACAGACAAGCCAAGAACGCGACATTGGGAAAGCCATGGGGAGACCATTATCGACAAAAGCAGCACACCTTCCCATCGTCACCGCAGTTTTCACCATTCGCCCATCTGCAAGTTCTCGCCCGCAGGCAACGGTCATACGTTGACCGCAGAATCATGGAGGCACTATTCATGAGGAAGAGGAAGCCGGCAGTGAACAGTGACAATGGTTGGCGACTGTTGGGTGATGTGTAAATATGTCTGTCATTACCATAATTTGTGCAAGAATGTGTGCACTGTGTGTGTGTGTGTGTGTGTGTGTGTGTGTGTGTGTGTGTGTGTGTGTGTGTGTGTGTGTGTGTGTGTGTGTGTGTGTGTGTGTGTGTGTGTGTGTGTGTGTGTGTGTGTGTGTGTGTGTGTGTGTGTGTGTGTGTGTGTGTGTGTGTGTGTGTGTGTGTGTGTGTGTGTGTGTGTGTGTGTGTGTGTGTGTGTGTGTGTGTGTGTGTGTGTGTGTGTGTGTGTGTGTGTGTGTGTGTGTGTGTGTGTGTGTGTGTGTGTGTGTGTGTGTGTGTGTGTGTGTGTGTGTGTGTGTGTGTGTGTGTGTGTGTGTGTGTGTGTGTGTGTGTGTGTGTGTGTGTGTGTGTGTGTGTGTGTGTGTGTGTGTGTGTGTGTGTGTGTGTGTGTGTGTGTGTGTGTGTGTGTGTGTGTGTGTGTGTGTGTGTGTGTGTGTGTGTGTGTGTGTGTGTGTGTGTGTGTGTGTGTGTGTGTGTGTGTGTGTGTGTGTGTGTGTGTGTGTGTGTGTGTGTGTGTGTGTGTGTGTGTGTGTGTGTGTGTGTGTGTGTGTGTGTGTGTGTGTGTGTGTGTGTGTGTGTGTGTGTGTGTGTGTGTGTGTGTGTGTGTGTGTGTGTGTGTGTGTGTGTGTGTGTGTGTGTGTGTGTGTGTGTGTGTGTGTGTGTGTGTGTGTGTGTGTGTGTGTGTGTGTGTGTGTGTGTGTGTGTGTGTGTGTGTGTGTGTGTGTGTGTGTGTGTGTGTGTGTGTGTGTGTGTGTGTGTGTGTGTGTGTGTGTGTGTGTGTGTGTGTGTGTGTGTGTGTGTGTGTGTGTGTGTGTGTGTGTGTGTGTGTGTGTGTGTGTGTGTGTGTGTGTGTGTGTGTGTGTGTGTGTGTGTGTGTGTGTGTGTGTGTGTGTGTGTGTGTGTGTGTGTGTGTGTGTGTGTGTGTGTGTGTGTGTGTGTGTGTGTGTGTGTGTGTGTGTGTGTGTGTGTGTGTGTGTGTGTGTGTGTGTGTGTGTGTGTGTGTGTGTGTGTGTGTGTGTGTGTGTGTGTGTGTGTGTGTGTGTGTGTGTGTGTGTGTGTGTGTGTGTGTGTGTGTGTGTGTGTGTGTGTGTGTGTGTGTGTGTGTGTGTGTGTGTGTGTGTGTGTGTGTGTGTGTGTGTGTGTGTGTGTGTGTGTGTGTGTGTGTGTGTGTGTGTGTGTGTGTGTGTGTGTGTGTGTGTGTGTGTGTGTGTGTGTGTGTGTGTGTGTGTGTGTGTGTGTGTGTGTGTGTGTGTGTGTGTGTGTGTGTGTGTGTGTGTGTGTGTGTGTGTGTGTGTGTGTGTGTGTGTGTGTGTGTGTGTGTGTGTGTGTGTGTGTGTGTGTGTGTGTGTGTGTGTGTGTGTGTGTGTGTGTGTGTGTGTGTGTGTGTGTGTGTGTGTGTGTGTGTGTGTGTGTGTGTGTGTGTGTGTGTGTGTGTGTGTGTGTGTGTGTGTGTGTGTGTGTGTGTGTGTGTGTGTGTGTGTGTGTGTGTGTGTGTGTGTGTGTGTGTGTGTGTGTGTGTGTGTGTGTGTGTGTGTGTGTGTGTGTGTGTGTGTGTGTGTGTGTGTGTGTGTGTGTGTGTGTGTGTGTGTGTGTGTGTGTGTGTGTGTGTGTGTGTGTGTGTGTGTGTGTGTGTGTGTGTGTGTGTGTGTGTGTGTGTGTGTGTGTGTGTGTGTGTGTGTGTGTGTGTGTGTGTGTGTGTGTGTGTGTGTGTGTGTGTGTGTGTGTGTGTGTGTGTGTGTGTGTGTGTGTGTGTGTGTGTGTGTGTGTGTGTGTGTGTGTGTGTGTGTGTGTGTGTGTGTGTGTGTGTGTGTGTGTGTGTGTGTGTGTGTGTGTGTGTGTGTGTGTGTGTGTGTGTGTGTGTGTGTGTGTGTGTGTGTGTGTGTGTGTGTGTGTGTGTGTGTGTGTGTGTGTGTGTGTGTGTGTGTGTGTGTGTGTGTGTGTGTGTGTGTGTGTGTGTGTGTGTGTGTGTGTGTGTGTGTGTGTGTGTGTGTGTGTGTGTGTGTGTGTGTGTGTGTGTGTGTGTGTGTGTGTGTGTGTGTGTGTGTGTGTGTGTGTGTGTGTTCATAGCTGTGTGGTGTAGACCAGGCTGAATAACGGTGGTCAATTCTTCAGCCTTGCAAGCTGTTGAATGGTGCAATCCCAGCACAAGCTGCTATGGCTTCTGCTGTAGCATCGCTATCATCGCCTCTGGCGATGGGCGTCCAATGGTCCAATGGTGTGTGTGTGTGTGTATGTATGTGTGTGAGTGTTGCTAGAAGTGTGTATTTTTCTGCTTTGTACTCAGTAATCCTGCACTATCACTGCACTATATTTTCACTTCATACATATCACACAGAATTATAATCTCGCTTCCTGTGGTATTGCAACATTTTACGCTATACCATCACACTTTGGCCACTAGTACTTGTCACATATATATAAACCCCTGTTCTGTCTACAGTAGACTTATTCCTGATGATGGGCCTTGCCCGAAAATTTGAGCTAATGTATATCAATTGCAGTGTAGCCTAGAGACCGTTAGAGAGAGAGTGTGTACAAGGTGTGTGTACAGGATGTATGGATTCAAGTATTGGCTACAGTGGAGTCTCCAAACCTTGAGAAAAGTATACCGGTACTCTTGATAATAGTAATACTAACTCAGTCAAAATGTCATTGGTTCTTGATGTAGATCTACCCATTCAGGCTTTACCAAGAGTGCATGGACTCTTGGCTTTAGTGCAGTACTGCTTGGCTTTACAGTTTACTGCCATACTGGTCCTGTCAAATATTGTTTGTTCCACACGATCACAAACTGGTATGGTGACCTTTGAACTCTTGGACCGTAGTCCATATCTACGTACGTGTTTAGTCTAGTATACAGCACAAAAATCCTTGACAAAGTAACACTAGTTTTTGAAAAGCGGTTTTGTTGGAAACGCCAGAACTAGTGACTACATATACACCCAATTTCCAAAACTTGCTCCGATCGCTTCGATTTTGGTCTCATTCGATTCTCCCAGGCGAAGTAGATAGGCAAACTGCAAGTAAGTATTATTCAAATCGGCCCAGCCATTCTTGAAGTGCACCAACTAATACTTACTTGGACTTTCGCTGGAAACATAAATGAATGGGGCCGGGGGTGATCAATGGTGATGGGACTTGGGAGAATCGAGAACGACCGCACAGCTCAGCCAGTGCATGCAGTACAGTGTACAGTGCACACGCCTCGTCACTCGAACTGCGCGTAGACCCGGGTGCTCGAATGAGACACAGGGTACCAAAACAGAAACACCCTGAAATTGTACCTAAACTTGTTCCGATTTCGTTTAGTTTTCACAAATACCATCAACATACTGCCTGCTAACGGTATGCCAAATTTCAGCGCTGCCCGGTAAACACTTTTTGAAATACTCGCGACCCACTTTTTGCTGCGTCCTTGATTCGAGGATATGGGTCTCCTGTACGGTGCTGCCAAAGACCTGCTGAATCTGCGGCTCCACTGACCATCTTGCTCTCAAAAATGAAGTAGTAAGTTACTACTCCCTGCCCTCAACTGCCACACCAAGCGTAGACGATGGCAGACCCGTGTGCTTGAATCGGAGACGATCTGACGAGTTCGCTGTTTCTGATTCGAGCACCCAATTTTCAAATAAAAAATCCGAAGGAAATACGACAATTTTACTGCGTACTGTAGCTTGTGTTGTAGCGCACCCAGGTTCTGAATTCCTGCTGGGTGGGTCAAGCCAGACTCTCTTCCCTGTTCCATCGCCTTTCCAAAAGTATATTCTGACATTGTTGAGATTTACAGATGAGAAATTGCACACCTGTCAAATCGTTTCTGATTCGAGCACCCGGGTCTACGAAATTGCATACTTTGGTATGCTGGCGCAGAACAAATTCGCTCGTAGAGGAAGACGAAAGTGTCTCACCGCCTTGTAATTTCTCATGGCCAGTAGTTTTTCGACGCTGAAGACGATGGAATAGTCCGCGACGTTGCGATCCGACCAGAACAACCCGAAATTCATACCCTGAAAAAGCGCTGAGCGCAGAGCTCCTAAATTTTGTCGTATGGAAACGGGACTTTGGGTCTCAAGCGCACGATCATCTCCTCTCTCAGATAAAGCAATTCACTCGATGCGATATTCTACATACCGTATTATTTGACCAGTCACCTGCAGGCTGGCCACGCCGAAATGCACTGCCGGGCCATGTCGGATTCTCCCATCGGAAGTATAAACTAACGTAACTTGTTTCCAAAAAATCAGCGTCTGGGTGCGAGGGAATAAAGTCACTACCAGAACGCAGCACGAAAAATGTCTTGCCTGTGCGATGTAACGGTATGGGCTGTCGGAAAGTGAGTGCTGAGTCATGTCGAGTTTGGCATCTGCAACGCCTCGGTCATCAAATCGTGGCCAAAGATCTCGACAACGTAGCAAAATAAAAAGTGCTGGTGAAATTTCAATAGGAAATCTCAGTGCATTGCCCACACAGAAGGATAATGTCAACGCCGGCCATCGACGTTTCAGTTCCGTCAGAACAGTTATGGGCATCAAGACGAAAAAATCCCTCGACGCTCCACAGGAATTCAAGAAGAGCAACTCCTTCAGCCCATTGCCGTATTTACAGGAGGTACAGTCGGAAACACCGTGGTTCCTGTCTCCTGAATTGGTAAGCCAGACTGAATATCTTCTTGGAAAAAAGTTTGTAAAAATTAATGATATGAAAGGATTGGGAGAACTTCAAATTCAAAGGATCAGTCGGGACATTACTCATGACAAGCAAGGTCCTGGGTTCGAGTCCAGGTGGGTCTGGCATTTTTTCTCTTTTCAGGCAGTTCACTTCCCAGGGGCGTCGGACACGGTACGGTCACTACGGTATTGACCGTACCACTATTCGCCCCAAGTACCCTGTGAATCAGGGAGTCGTAAAATACCATATGTTTTTTACGACTCCCTGCTGTGAATGAATACAATGCACTGATTTGGGCTCTAATTTCCCAAAAAAATTCGGATCAGCCATCCCTCCCACACGAGTGAATTGTACTTCAGACGGGTGACCGTACCACACTAAATTACCTTCCGATGCCCCTGCTTCCCCGGCTGATCCTGATATCCTGATATGATATTATGAAAGTGAATATTTACTCATAGGCGTCGCACACGGTACGGTCACTACGGTATTGACCGTACCACTATTTACCCCAAGTACCCCGTGAATCAATAAAATGCACTGATTTGGGCTCTAAATTTCCAAAATTTTCGGCTCAGCCATCCCTCCCCCACGAGTAAATTGTACTTCAGATGGCTGACCATACCACACTAAAATACCTTCCGACACCCCTGTTACTGCGGGATTCACAGAAGCATTTTTGCACTTTCCAGTGATATAAAATTTAATTTCTTTGCGATAGGACTAGATTTGAGTGATGCGATGCGCGATGTGACGGCCGCGAAACCGAGAAATCCCCAGATCGCATCCATCCCGCAGCTCACACAGCTGTCGCAACTGGTCCATCGCAGAAGTTGAGCTTGGCTCAATTTGTTAGTTCCATGTGTTCCGTGGTCTTTGTAATTCACTTTCCGATTGTGGCCTTGACCTGCTGACTCCAGATGTGGTTCAGACCGGCAATGTCATAATTATGCCAGTGTGCATACATTAGCCCTGACTCGGGGTGTTTTAGTCAACGCGTCAATCACACCAGCCAACACGGTTCAATCCAGCAAAGGGATAGTCAATACATGCAATAAGAATAAATGCAAGGAAAGGGTCCTGGATAATAAATAATCAGGACAATATGGATCTGGCCGCCATTCTCGGGCTCTCTCGATCTCCTCGACCTTGCGCAAGCATGCGCAAATATGTACAATGTAGCTAAAACAAGTATCACATGAGACCTACGTCACTGGTCCAACACATAGCACTACTCCGGGCATGCTGAGTATGGGGAGAATGTGTACAGCAAGAACAGAGTACATATCCTATGCTTCTAGTTTACTGAAAGCTTATCATCGACTGAGAGCAAACATACCGGTACATTACATCATGAATCATACACATTATTAGATACAGCTCAGTGGGACTACTACATCCCCCCCCCCCCCCCCCTTTTCAGAAAAAGACCAGCGGTCTACCGATAGCGACATGGCGTTTGAGTCTTACGCTGCGGACGACTAGAAGCTGGTTGAACCGTACTAGGGGTTGCGGTAACGATGGCAGATGGCTAAGCACTGCGTTCGTGCACTTCCTCGTCATCATCGTCGTCTGTAGCAACATTATCGCCTGGCCGAAGCTGCATGGGCGGCGTGCGATGACCTCCTCGTAGCAGTAGATCTCCCGGAGGTTTGCCGCTAGTCGTGTTGACGGCTGACCGAACTGCTCGGAGTGCCACACAAAGTGCGTCTTCTGTTCGTGTCTCGCCAGATTGTCGCATGTGTTACTTTAATGTCTGGTGGAAACGCTCAAGTGGATGCTGCTGCGGCGTGTTTGGGACAGTGCACTCGTGACTGATTCCCCATGACTCAAGCTGTTTGCGGAATTCGTCGCTGCCGAACGGTTGTCGGCTATTAGGTGCGTTGGCATGCCAAACAGAGTAAAGATTTGGTCCAGTGCCCCGATGATGTCACTTGTCTTCTCGGCTGGTAAGCGGACAACTGCTGGATATCGGCTGTATGAATCCAGAAGGGTGAGGAACGTGCTCTGCTGTTTATACAACACGTCAATAGCGACGGTGTGCCAGGCATGAGGAGGTAGTGACGCTGGGCGCTGAGGACCAGCTGGAATATCAGTGGCTGAAATCGACATTGCCAGAAGACCTAACCGGATGGAGGCCTGTTCTCCTAGTAGCGCGGGCACAGTGCACTGCGCGTCAACGACTACAAAGATGGTCTCAGTGGTTTCGCGGCCCTGATAGCTCAGGTTACCATCAAAAATGCCCACGGCTAGTACCACTGCTTGCGCCTTGGCTGCGGCGGAGCTCAAGTCCTGCGCATCATGCTCCAAGACACTCTTTCGGGCACTGGCAGAGCTGAGTCCCCGTGCAAACAGGTGGACTCCCACAACTCCCAGTAGGTCCTCGGCACTACGATTACTGGTTAGGCTACAAATCCTCATGTCCTTTTGCACACGCAGTTGAAAGGCCTGTACTGTTTCCCCAGGACGTTGTTCGACTGAAAACAATTCCGCCAAACGGGACGCTGCACTCTGTTTCGAGCCGAAATACTCTTGGAACAATTTAATAAGGTCGTTTAGGGATTGGTTGAAGTAGTTGGCACCGTCGGGTAACTCTACGATAAATGGTGGCTCGCCAACTCGCCTAAATTGGCAGCTGCTGCCAAATACTGCTTCGACTGCTCCGTCACGTTGTGGAGCGCAAATCCAATCTCCATCTGACTTCGCCAAGTAAGGGAATGATTGTTTCCCAGCTCGTGGTCCAGGTCAAGGCGGACGCCGACTTTTACTTTTGCTGTCATTTCTCTCGTGCGTGGTGAAAACTACAAACTGCAACGCGTTAACGAGTGACTTATTTCTGAAAAGAATCCTGTTCACTGCGCCAATGTTTTAGTCAACTCGTCAATCACACCAACCAACACGGTTCAATCCAGCAAAGGGATAGTCAATACATACAATCAGAATAAATACAAGGAAAGGGTTCTGGATAATAAATAATCAGGACAATATGGATCTGGCCGCCATTCTCGGCTCTCTCTCTCGATCTCCTCGACCTTGCGCAAGCATGCGCAAATATGTACAATGGAGCTAAAACAAGTATCACATGAGACCTACGTCACTGGTCCAACACATGGCACTACTCCGGGCATGCCGAGTATGGGGAGAATGCGTATAGCAAGAACAGAGTACAATCCTGTCCTATGCTTCTAGTTTACTGAAAGCTTATCATCGACTGAGACCAAACATACATTGCGTATCGGAGCTTCGAGCTTCGAGCTTCGATATAACAGTGTATACCAACCCGAAATTGGGTTTTCCTTTGCTCGAGATAGCATTTTCAAAACGCAGTTTTACTAAAATTTGACAAACAAATTTTCGTAAGGAAAACTGCTCCACACGTGATCCATCAGCTCAAACGCGGGAACTCTAGCTTCTTCTTCACCTTTTTTCTTTGCTCGAGGAAGTGTGTAGTTGAAGTTTTCTGTTGTCTGAGTTTTCGGTATGGATTCCGCACCTCAGGATGTTTTTTCGCTAGTCCAGCAGGCTCTGGACCATGCCTTGCGCCCACTGGAGAGGCGTTTGGCATCCCTGGAAGGCCACAACACGTCCATGCCTGTGGGAAATTTGGAGTCCGGGCAAGAGCACGACTCGCGGATCGTGGATGGGACATGTACCCCGGAAACTGATCCACTCCTGATCCCGGTTGCTTCCCAATCGGCTGACTCCTCATTAGCGAGGTCTACTGCCTGCAGTAGTCAGCCCGCTCAGGCTTCCAGAGCCGGTGTTGAGCATATAATACGCGTGGTGGGTCTGTTGAGGGCGACCCGACAAATTTTCCCACGCTGCAGCCACTCGCTGCTCGGTCGACCTCGAGAGGGCCACCTAGGCTACGACCTCTCCCCTCGGACCCGAGTGGTCCTGAAGATCCAGGCAATCTGGCGCAATTAAGCCACCTGCCGCTTGGTCCGACGCTAGCGGGTGTGGAGGCTGATGATTTGGACTCCGGTAGCACACATAGCCTGGTGTCCGACGGTGTGGGTCCCAACACTGACTGGCCAGCGGAGGACGGGGATGAGGAAGAGAAAAGTTTTACCCGTCATGTCTCGCCCGAAACTGCTAAGTATCTTGAGTCATGTCTTCGCTCAGAACTCCGACGCAAATCCCGGCAGGCCATTTCCCGTCGCTACCCTCGCCCTGACACTCCAGCAGCACTAGTCCCGGCTTTGGATGCACAAGTCGCCCGCATGGTGTATGGGGCTGACAAGAAGCCGCCTCGTTCGAAGGCTCGGCCCGATAGGCCTCAGTACCTGACGCAGGCGAAATTATTGAATGTGGTGGGTCCGTTGTGTGACATACTTGAACACACGCAAAACCCTGGCCTCGGTGAGCAAGGTCAACAGATCCGGGAGGCCGCTACGGCAGCACTGCGTCTCCTGGGAGATGCTAACCAGGCACTCACCATAAAACGGCGCTCCATTTATTTATCCAAGATCCACCCCAAGCTCTCCAGCCTGGCCACTGCAGAGTTTGCTAACCCAGGAGAGTCATTATTTGGCCCTGCCCTGAACGAGCAGATAACGAAGCAGGCGGAAACAGACAAGGCTTGGGCTGACGTACTGCGTAAGCTGCCGCCAAGTCATGGTCATGTGGCTGGGAAAAACAGACGGTCGTCACGCTTCGGACAAGATCAGGGGGACGGCAACGCCAAACGCCGCAAGCCTTTAGAGGCTTCCCGTGAGCCGTTTTTTTGAGGGAGCGGAGCCCGCAGGGACGGGTGGACCTCCGCAAGCCATGCCCCTCACCGTCCACATTACCCCAAGAAGCCGCAGTGGCAGCCCCGGTCGCAACAACAGCCCAACAACAAGCATGGCCCTCCGAAGCCAAACAATGCCTGAAACGTTTCCTGCCAGAGGTGTGCTGGCAGGCGCTCCCACCAGACCTGTAATGTCAATGCACCCAGCTACCCGAGTGGGGCTTGGACTGGAGGTCCAGGGACGTCC